TGAAGACCCAGTAGAGTGCCTTGGGGGGCAGGCGTGCGAGTTCGGGCCCGAGGTGGGTGATGCTGGTGGAATGCAACAGGCTCGAGTCAGCGGACGAAGTTGTCTCTCGGTTATGGCGTTCTGACACCAGCATGCTTTCTTTTGGCATCGCAAGATTGCGATCGCGTGTAAGGGGTAGGTTCGCCCAGATCCAGCCCCAGGAAAAAGCAAACGTCGCCGAAATGACAGTGACGACCCGAAAACAAGGTGGACAAACAGGAAAACTTACGCTTTGGAAAGGGTCACGTAGATGGCGGCGGTGTACCAGACGGGACCGCTGGTGATGAAGACGATTTGCAGCATGAAGGGGACGAAGGCGAAGGGGTTGTGGTAGAGCATGATGCGGCCGATGTAGCCGACGATCTCGCTGAGGCAGCCGAGGACCATGAAGGTCATGAACCAGTAGGAGCGCCAGCGGATGCCGAGGAAGATGTGGACGAGGCCGGCGATGCCGTATAGGGCGAGGAAGAGGGCGTTGACGGCGATGTTCGGGCGGTACCTGTACAGGCTGTAGTGGATGTCGCAGATTTCGAGGGTGCAGTTTGCGTCGGGGCCGAAGACGACGACGTACGGCGGGAGAGGCGGCGGTGGTCCGGCCATTTTGGTGATGGGTTTGCTTCGTTTGGACGAGTGTGAGATGAAGACGGGACGGCTTCGAGAAGGGCGGGAGGCGGGAAGGGCTTCTTCTATGGGGATCGCGGCTGGGAGATGTGATTTGTCTTGGATGCCGGCTATCGTGCTCGGGCCTTGGATACTGAGAGGAACAAGCAAGCGTGTCGATACAGTCAGGACCGGAAAGGGGCCACGCTATATACATACAAGATTGTCACAGGGAGGGAATATTGGATTAGAGTCCGGAACACGATGGGGGCGTTCACACATAGACGGATCGCGGAATCCAGGTACGGAGGAGACACTCGTCATCACTAGGCGCATTAAAGGGCCCCCAAGGCTCGCATTCTCTTCGATGATTCAGATAGGCTCGTGGCTCGATGAGCAGCAACGCCAATCATGTCGGAGCTGGTGGGCGGTGCAGCCGTCAGCCGGGGGTGTGTGACAGAGACAGTTCACCTTCCCGGCCGATGTGAAAGAGGCTGAAGCAGACGATCCGCCTGACGGCAGTGAGCTGAAAAGGGATGCATTCTGCGCTCGCAGCTAGCTGGGCAGCACAACCTTCGTCTGGATGGCGAACCGAAGAAACGTGCGTAGGGCGAGAGAGATCGGCCGTTAAGGATGGGACGGCGTCTGTCTTGGCTGCTAAGCGAGTGCGGAAGCGGGGCCGGGACGGACATGTCAGATGCGAATGGAAGAGGAATGCTGCGTGGCTGCGTGCGTGCGAACAGGGAGAGAAAGGAAGCTGTGGTCTGTGCGAGCGAGTGCGAAAGGGCGGGCCGCGTCAAAAGCGTCCATTTTAGGCAACGTGGAATCCGTCGGTGAGGAACAGCCAATTAGCTGGGACGAGGGACGGCTTGAGATGACGACGGGCTGATAAGTCGGAGGAAAGTTGGGACGGTTGGGCTGGGTTTGGATGATGTGTCGTGCTGCAGGCTGACTGGGGGCTGTAGGGCTGGGCACAACCGGGGCGTTGGAATCTCGACACGAGATGAAGGTGTCATTGATCTGAGGCTCATCCCACCATGGTGCATGCATGATACGACATCAAAGTATTGGTGGTGATGGCCATGCCAAGGGTTCTGCCTGTGAAGTGGAAGAAGCTGTCGCAATCGCACCGACTGTTGCCATGGACGGGTGCGTGGCTCTGCTCAAATGCCAAGGCGGATTTAGGCGCTGGACGATTCGGGCACGCTGTCTTAAATCTTGCTAGAGGGCTAACTCAAGCCGACCGCTGGAACGAGGGCGTCACGTCTGGTGTGCCCGCGCGCAATGCCGCCGAATCGGGACAGCGCGTTGAGGGGTCTAGACCGACGGTTGATCGTTTCCTCCGCGTCCTTTGACGGAGCTGCTTTCGGGCCGGCACAGCGGCGAGATCGGCGACACATCTCGATCCTGCATTTGATGGTGCGAGGTCAATGACATGCCGGTCATGTGCCGGTGATCCGAAGCTGTGAGATCCAAGTCCGTGTGTGGGGCCGCCACTCGGCGCCGGAGGCCGGGCCCCGGAGTTCGGGGCAGCCACCGGAGACCTTGTCATGCAATCTGCGATTACACCTCTCAGTGACCACGTGCACTCAAGATACGTATTCTTAGAATCGTTTCGAGCGAAGCTTGATCTGTTTCTATGCGGTAAGCATATTCAGGAGATGGGACGAACTGGGCCGAGTCATGCGGCCTCTTTCTCTGAAACAACACGGACAGGCCATATTACAGAAGTTGCGATTCAGCTACGTACATATCAGCAGGCGGCTTCAGTATTGGTAAGAGAGCATCATTAATTATTATCGGTAGGTACGAGGAATGATCGTCAACCCGCTCGGTGAAATATAGGTGCGTGAGAATAGAACGGTTGTGCACATCTATTTTAAAGTTGCATGCTCTCTGGATTCGGCAATTATGTGGGCGAGGCCACGAACTAATCATCTCAGCCCGAATTCAGACGACAAGAGCACTCTACTACAGACGATGTCTATCTTTGGCTTCTACGATGTTCGTCTGATTTGGCTGTGGGCCGTGGAGTTTCCGCAGCCCTGTCGGCCTGATCCGAGTCTATCTCAAACATACCCACAAAGACCCATGATGCTCAGTGACAGAAATTCATTTTTGGATGATGAGGCTGGAAGAGGAAGGAGGGGATGGCCACATCGAGTTGATGGATTGCAAAGACCCCATTTGGCACTCTTTCGACCGCCCGTTGGGTATGATGCTCACAGGCATGCGCTGGAACTTGGTGTCCACGGTTTCGACGTTCCATATCCGCAAAGTGTCACGGCGTTTCTTGCTCATACGGGCAATCGGTCTGGAGTCCCATCGTTGCTGATACTGACGATGCCGTCCCGTCTGAGAAACCAGGCTTTGATGTACATGGCAGCCACGTCGATGCTTCCCGTCTGTTGATGACAGCGTAGCCACCAGGTGTAATACTAGTCTGGCATTGAACATGTGAGACGTCGCAGTCTGCAAAAGCAAAAAAGGACTGCGCGTCACCTAGAAGGCCACCTTCAGACACTCTGTCGTGTCATTTTGACTGATGTCCATGGTTCGTTGTACAGTCTCGACGTATGAGCTCGCAGACGATCATAAGAGATTCTCCATCAGTTGGGCAGCACTGGTCGGCAAGTCGACTGCTCAGACATACCGTGATGAGAGAGAAACACAGCAGAACGGCGACCGCTCCCGTGCGTCGTCTGGAAATGACGACAAAAAGAAAGCAAGAAGATTGCCCTGGTCCGTGAACGTCCTTCTCCATCCCAAGAGTTTGCCCAGATGAGATCTGCGCCTCACAGCCTCGAAAACTGGATGCCTCAGACTTTTCGTAACTGACGGACATGACCGTCAAATTCCGATCACCATCAAACGACGTCCGCCCGCACGCCTACCCGCAGGCCGGCCCACGACAGAAAGGGTGCAAGTCCAGGAGTAACGCGGTGCGGTCGCCAGCGCACCAAGCCGCTCGGGAGGCCGCATCAGACCTGACCCGTGCCGTCGTGACGTATTTCGTAAGTGTATAGTAGCTCCGCCAGAACGACCCCGTCGAGAAACCAACACCCAACGGCGGCGTCACCGTCGTCGATCATGCAATCGTCCCGCGTCTCCGCGATCCGACTCGTACGCATTGTGGTACAATATCCTCCGATACCCCACGAGTCGAATCATGTTCCGGATCCAGCCTGTCGGTCGTCATTTCGTCGTCGCCGTTCCATCTGCCCTTTCCAGAGACAATCAAGCCCGTGGCGGTTTGGGATGTCCCAGCATCCAAGAGGATGCCAAAATTCTTCCGAAATGAGACGGGCAATGCTGCGCCCTCTCTAGTCCTCCATGAGGATCCCGCGGGGCATCGTCCTCAGCCCTTTCGAAATCCCAGAGAGCCACAAAAGAGAGAAAAAATCCATCGCCTTCCTTTTCAGGATCTGAGACGGCATGACCCCAGCTCGAGGTGTAGAGTGCTTGCTTGACCGCGGGTCCCTTTCATATCGTTTCGGTCCCCCATCCCGGGGCCTCATCATCCCTCGGTGAACTCAAAAAAAGAACAGGATGGGTAGGTGGTGGATTGTTTGTCGGTGGGGAGTTATGCAAGCGCGGTGACGCCGTTCATAACTCGATCCCCGTTGGGCGGGGGGCCGCCGTTTCACCCAAATTGATCTCAGGTCGGGCGCCCAATCAGAGGCCGCCGTTCGTCCCAATTGTAATCTCCCGAAAGTCCCTCAGTTGTCCAATGCTCAGATGCCCGCCAAGACCCGTGCCGCGCTAGTCCCAGGGGTATTCGTCTCTTTCGCAGGGGTTCGGATGACAGTCGTCCAAAGGTGGCGGTCGGGTACGTGGGTGATTCGGTGTCGGTGTCGTCTTGTGGGTGGGAACACTGCCCAACGGCGAAAAGTGTGAGTTGCACTCTGCTGTCGAAGTCCGGGGAAGATCGCTGTAGGGGCGATCATGTTACCTCACTTGAGGGAATCGGGCGTTGGAAGAAAGAATCCCTTTCCAGGAGCCAGAGCCAAGTTTGTTGGCTACTTGAAATTTCACGTTGCGAAGAATGTCACCGATATCTTGTTACACCAAACCGCATCGTCGTTAAAGCCAGGCTCGTCTGGTTGGCCGAGATCTCCTCCGGCGTCTTCCAACGCCAGAAGTATCACTCGCGCCACCGAGAACAGACCCCAAATACAATTAGAAGATTAGATACAAATGGTATTTGCCATTCCGTTAAGATGATACATGTACAAAGAGAAGACGGGCCTCTTTTTACATATGTCTCGTCTCTACTACTCCAGCAAAAGACCCGCCAAATAGTTGTTCGTTAAATGCCGTAGCCGTGATGGCTTCCTTTAGAATTGTCCCAGGGAAAGGATTTAAGCGAAAACGTAGGCGGCAACACCGGCGAAGGCGGCGAGAGCGACGGAGCCGCTCAGGCCGGAAGCGCCAGCAGTGACGGGGGTCTTGGTAGGGGGAACAGAGCTGATTTGCGTGTTAGTGATGCTATTCTCAAGAAACTTGATATCAGGATAACTCACGTAGTGCCGTTGCCGCCAGTGGGGACACCGGGGATGGTAGCAGAGGGCTTCTGGCCGGTGGCGGTAGCGCAGGGGACAGAGACGGTCTCGTAGATGACGGTAGGGACAACGGTGGTGACGGAGGTAGAGATGGTCTTAACGGAGACGCCGGGGCAGACGGGGGCGGCCGGGCTGGACACCAGGGTGGCGGGGACGGAGACGGAGGGCAGAGCAGCGCCGGTGGTGACGGCGGGAGGCTTGCCGGTGGTGGCGGGCTTGGAGGGAACAGCCGCGGGGACGGTGCCGTTGTTGGCGGGGGGAGGGACAACGACAACGGGGGGCTGGGTGGCAGAGGGCTTGGCGCCAGTCTCGGTGACGGGGCAGATGGTGGTGCCGATGGCCTTGGTCTCGGTGACGACGACGGTAGAGCCGGCGGGGCAGTTGGTGACCGTGGGGGCGCAAGAGGTGATGGTCTTGACGTTGGTCTGGTAGACGGTGGAGGTGGTCACGGGGACGACGCTGGAGGAGACGACGGTGCTGCGGGCAGGGCAGTTGGTGACGGTGGGCGCGCAAGAAGTGACGGTGAAGTACTGGGTGGAGAAGACGGTGGAAGCAGGCTCCTGGGCCATGACGGCACCAGCGAGAGCAGCGGCGGCGATGGAGTACTTCATTTTGAATGTAGTTGAAGGGGGTTGGTTAAATTCGTAAAGACGAAGATAGTGTTGGTTGGTTGATTAAGAGAGTGTTGTTTAAGCTGAGAGCTTGGTAAAGAATGGACGACCGAAGTCAAAGTTGAGTCAAAAGCTGATGCTTGAGATTGATGAGGCTTGTTTGGCTGGAGAGGGAAAGAAGAAGACGACCGAGGTGAACGGGGAGGACGGCGGCATATTAATAGGCCATGTTGGACAAGTCCTTGATGGGATCGACCCCGGGCCCCTCTCTTCTGTGTGTGCTAAGGTTGGCTTGACTTGTCGAAAGAGAGAGAGAGAGAGAGTCAGCTTCCCTCCCGCCTCTCTCCGCTCTTGTTCGCTCGGCACCGTCTGTCTGCAGCAGTCCCTGTGCCTGTGAGAGGACCACAGAGGAGGAGTGACATGACATGGAGCGAGCACACAGCCCGTGGGAAATTACACAACGCCTGCTAACGTCCAGCCCCATGAACGCTAATCCAGGGGGTTTGGTGGAGGTTGGATGGCACCGGCAAGGGCACTTGGGCGAATTGGCCCGCAGAGGCGAGGCCGACTTCCCATGCGCACCCATCCCGGTCCCCTACTACCCAGGCTACCGGGGTTAGATCCATCATCCATCTGCCTCCATCTGCATAGACGCCAGCGAGAACAGGAGACGAGAAACGCCGTTGCCACCTTATTTGCTAGGCTCTGCTTTTTTAGCTGCGGTGTAGCCTGAAGAGTGGTAAGGCGAGATGAGATGTGAGCGCTTATTGGGGGCGAGAACGCCCACCATGCGAGTAGGGCGCCATCCGCTCCTGAGGTGGCTTCAGGGCCAGGCATAGGCGCTGCGCTGCATTTGTGCGCCAGCAACGGCTGGCTTCATTGGTTTTCAGGCGCTTCTCTACCCCAATTTCCCTCTTCGTGTAAGCAATGAGTCGGGGTACGACAATCTCGCGAATCCAAATTGTATGGCTGTCTGTCCATCTGTCCGTACCTTACAGACGGCACTAGAGAGTGACCGACCAACAAGAATAGGAGAGACAGGCGGCACACCCTCTCGCTCGCTGGATTCTTGAATCCTATCTTAGGCTGGAGAGCAGCACATGACTGACCATGGGCGTCTATCGACAGTCCAACTCCTGGCGGTGGCCTCCCGCGCAACATGACTGGCCCTTCACAACCAGGTTCGCCAATCTCTGGTTTTCTTGTCGCTTGACCAACGCTTGGTGTTTCCTCTGGCCCCAAATATCCCAGAGCCAGGCGGCCAGGATGGATGCGAGAGGCAGTGCGAGTCAATCAATCAAGGGCTGCAAAGCGAGGTTTGAAGGCAAGTCAAAAAGTGGCACATTAAATGGCCACAGGGATGGGTTGTCTGATTGGGCAAGTGGGCGATGGTTCGGTGTGATTTTGTACGCTGTACACACCGCGCAGGCCCTTGGACTTGCACAACTTGGACGTCTGCTGCCGTACACTGTACCTTTTGCAACGATGCGCAGGCCAGCTCGCAGATCCAGGCTGTCGTTATTTCGCTCACTCGCTTTGCCTTGCCTTGTCTCTTCGCTTCGGTGGTGCGTGTACTTTAGTGTCTTCGTACGGATAGGCGACGAATGTCAGCAGTAAGTCTCCGATGATCGTCCAGGTCTGCACGGTGCTGAGGTTAATAGAAGGTTTTGCAGAGGAACGCGGCAGACGTCTTGTAGACGGACGCTGCTGGGAGACGTTCGTCCGTAGGGAGAGACAATTTGAAGCCATGGTCTGCCCAGAGCTGCCTTCGAGGAGAGCTGAGGCAACGAGGCCGCCCAGCTGAGCAGAGGGAATAAAACGGATGGGCGCGGGAATGCACCGAAACGTGGAGGTGAAGGAAGATCAGCCAGTGACAAGCACCAAGAAAGATGCTGCACGAGCACACTGCGAACAGGGTTCTCCGCCAAAAGAGGAGAGAGAGAGACAGTCCAGGCAGGGGAGCGCGGTTCCTGGGCGTTCCCCTTGGCAAGCCTTGTTGTGCCTTGTGCCTTGTGTCCCTGGCTCCTTTTCTCTTTCTCCTCCCCTGGAGTTGGTCTGTGGATGTTTGCACAAACCAGGCACAAAGGAGCGAGGCACAAAACATTCTGTACAGTACGTACCTGCATGAGAAACGAAGCGGAGGGTGTGCTAATGCAGGAACACAAACTGGGCTGGTGGGCACTATTTCCAAAAGGGTCAGCCTCTGGGATACACACAATGTACGTACTCTTTTTCTCCGCGTAAATCATCTTCACAACTTCCCCTTTTCAGTCTCTTCCTGTCAATCTTTTTCCATTTCACGAACCGTCCATTACGGCTTAATTTCCCGCGAAGCTGCCAGAATAATGGGAGAACCACTCCTCAACGTCCATCCATGGAGCCTCGTGGTAAATCATCCCCGCCATTCTTGTTCGTCTTCGGACTGAGCGCTTGGGAAGGAAACGATCCATCCGACTTGTTGGCCAACGTCGGCGGGAAAACAGACACCGCAGCATGCACCTGCGGTCACGACTACATGCACACTGAGCCGCGGAAGCCAACGCAGAGGCGCAGATACCGCAACGTGAGAACCAGGGAAGACGAGCCCCCCTGCCACCAAGCTCTCCGCCCCTGTCCATCCCTGGATGGGTTTTTGCGAAAATCCTCCGCGGCATCATCCAGCGTTGCGAGATCAGCGTTGTCAACACGTCAGAATCACGGACCATCGCGCCCACTGACCGTGTCCCTTCAAGCTCAAAAAGCCAATCTCAATCTCCAGTTCGTCTCGTTAGACTGTTCCGGCACTTCTTGATGCCGCCTGAACCGGCTTAGCCCCGACCGCCACGCCCATTCCGCCGATGTCTGTGTTTTTTTGACGTTTTGCTTCTGGGACTCCATATCGTGAGTCTGGATTCCGTGGCAGCCATGCCATTGCCACGCCTAGATGGCCGCTACTCGGGCGGACAATAACGCTACTGCGGTGGCTCTCTACTGTAAGTTGTTTTGTGCTTGGGTGCCGGGGATGGCATCGATTCAGGAAATTCATGAGCGTACCAGCCATGTCCATCGTCTTGTTGGCTCCTCGACAGACGGATATTAGCCAGGAACCAAGGTCAAGGAACCCCTCATCGGCGACCCAGAACAAAGAAGAGCCGTTTCAACGCCGGAAAAGCATCGCAAATTGTCTCTCAGAGATATCCATGTCGGACTTATCAGCAGCGTACCAGCCGGCCCCACGAGGAAGCCAAGGGCTCCAGCGTGCTGCTAATCGCGCGTTTCACAATTGTGGACGCACCAGATCGTCTGATGCTCCCTCAAGGGCTCCAACGTCTCTCCCATGTCGATTGACCCTTATGACGTCTTGTTATGCCTGCTCTTGGGCTGCCTGACCGACGGCCGGCCGAATGTGTTTGATTGCCGGCATGACTTGGACGACGACGGCTACTTTCCGCCAGTCGTCTGAGGACCACAGACGGCAAGGTTTCGTTGACAGGAGCAATGATAACCTTAATCAGCCGCGATTCAGGACTGCCAGCGCCGTCACCATCACGGCTTGCGGTAGTGTTGCCCCGAGGCCACGCCGTCGACCGCCTCCGTCTGTCCTCCGGGTTCTTGGCAGCGGCCTGATCGGATCGGCTGTCCAGCGTAATTTGACATGACCACATCGTTGACCATGCTGCCACTGGCCGCCTGGCCAGGCCTTGTCTAATCTCTTGGCCGTGAGACCTACAGACACCACCAGCATCGCCGCTTCTTCACATTTGGAATGCAATTTCTGTACGCCATTGAAGCCAACCGAGAGGCCCGTTGGCGCAATAGAGCAGAGAAGCTTTTGCGCGCCCCTTGGCCGGCGCGTTTGCTCTGGGCCGGCGGGTCTTGGCAAACAATGGATCTCGTTTGTCGCATTGTTCCCTTTTCAGTCTTCATCTCACCGACAATTCTTAATGACAATCGTCCCCTAAAACCTCCGATCACGCGGCGGGACTGACAGAGTTGTGGAGTTTAATGAACCATGCAGCTCCCGTCTCTCAGGAAGCTCGGCGCCACACCAGCCTGTAGATCACACAGCCGATTTCTCCATACTCTGGACATCAGGGTCCCGTTTGGGAAATCTACCATCGGAAGCCGTGCGACTGGCTGGGATCGAGTTGGATGTCTCCTGTGGGATATTTGACGGTGCTTTTGGTTGTCTATTCTAGGTAAGTGGAAATCTGACCCGCCCTCTCGGTCCAATGCCCGGCGCCAAACCTCGTTGTGCCAGAGGGGAAGGGAGTGTGTGAAGGCAATCTGACCATACGAAAAGCAAATCTCGGACAATTTTTTGGGGTCAGTCAGCCATCCCCGCAAGAGGAGCCCATTTCGCGCCGCTTCAAGAGGCAGGTCTTTCGTCGGGTCGAGATGGCGGCATGGCCTCGGTCAACCCCAGACTTGGATGCCCGCATAAGCCAACATGCACGCCTCAGGGGTACGATGAAGCTCAGCTTCGAAAGACTGTTCGCGCGGCAAGATATTAGCGACCGTTCCCTCGGAACCTGTTCTCGATGTTGGTGGCTAAATGGACGAAGGATCTCGCCCGGCTGATATTCCCATTCCCTTTTTGTCGACAAATTGGATTACTACGGGAAATCGCCTACATTATTGGCTCGAAGCGCGCGTTCTATTTTGCCACGCCCGGACTCGACTGCCCGTGATACTGGATGACAGCAGACTTAGGAACTGCCTGATGCGCCCGATACGTTGCTTGAGGTTCTGCAAGCATCTTTTCAAGGTGGCCTGGCCAAGGGAGCAGCAGCGAAACTCGAGCCAATCTGCCATGGTTTTGCGCATGCAGACCGCAGAGTATCGAACGATTTGGGCTCTTGCCGATGCTACGTCCTGAGATGGCCCCCGATACTCATCACCCAGACCAGAAAACGCCCGGTACCGCGATGATTTACACAAGACTTGTATCTCAAGGGTCTCCCAAACCTATTGCTCCGACTGACACTCCGAGAGACATTCTGGTCCCTTGAAATCAACAG